TTAAGCTATACAATTTGTGGACTTAAAGTAACAAGAAATTTTGACTTTTTGTCTAGCTTTATCATCAAAGAAGACTACCCAGCTATGTGTAAAAATCAGTTAAAATATTCCTTTGCAGAGAGATAGTATAGTGGGTAAGGTGCTTTCCTTGCATACAACTGACCCAGGGTCTATTTTGGGAACCTGTGTGGTTCCCATATCCCCACTAGGTCTGATCCCTGAGTGCAGAATCAGGAGTAAACTCTGAGCCACTGTTGGATCTGACCCCCCACATCAAAATAAATAGACCGTACAAATAGTACAGTGGCTAGGGTGTTTGCCTTACAACAGCCAACCCTAGATTCTATCCCTCGCACCTCATATGGTCCCCTGAGCCAGCCAGGAGTGATATCTGAGTGCAGAGCCAGGAGTAAGTTCTGAACACTATTGGGTGTGCCCTCATTTCTCCCCCTCAAAAAAATAAAAATCAAATAAATAAAATACTCCACTAGGGTGGAGAGATAGTTTTGCCTTGAATGTGGTTTACTTTGGCTCAGTCCCGGCACCACAAATGGTCCCCATCCATCACCAGAGTGATCCCTGAGCACAGCTAGGTATGGCCCAACTCCATTCCTGCCAAAAGTAAAATACTACTTCACCCAGTATATACACCTGCCTGAAGCTGAATTTTCTTCTGTCACAGGTTCTATGACAGGTTTAGTATAGGAGCAGAAGTCTCTTTGTTTGAACTAGACATTGAGATTTGCAGTAGTGTAAAGCAGTGTCCAGTTTCATTTTAGGGTATTTATATTATTTATTATTTTAAATGGATTTTTTTAAATGTGTAAGGTTTAATTTTCATCAAGAGGTATAACCCACATGAACAAAACCTCAGGGGATTTAAAAAATTTTAGGATTAAAAGGATCATGAATTTTGAACGTCATAAGCAGCAGGTTGAAACTGGTTTGGGAACTGTATGACTAGGTAGCTTTAGAAAATGACTCAGAATCTTCTTGTGCTCTAGGTCAATGTTTTCAACTGCTTTCCAGTGTCAAAAGGTTAAAAATCATTGCCTTAGGTGTGTGTGTTCTTTGTATTGTTATTGGAGTATTATGAGTGCATAAACACATTTAGTTTTTTAGTTGGTTGTGATATACAATTAAGAGATTTACATTCTATAAAGGGTAGGATCGTAAGTATTTTGTTTAATTATTTAATTTTTTTGGCGGACGGTGGTGGTGGGGCAGTGAGGTGGTTTCTCTTGACTCTGCACTCAGAAATTACTCATAGCTGGTACTTGGGGCATATGGGATATATGGGATGCCGGGGATTAAACTGGTCAGCCATATGCAAGGCAAGTGCCCTATCTACTGTACTTTGGCCCAGTTCATAAATATTTCAGATAGCACTGAGAGGCCGAACATGAGAATATTGTGTAGGTAATTATGTCACAAAGTGATACTTTTCACATTTTTGTTGTTGAGATTTAAAATAAAATAATTATGCACAACTTTATTTTCTTTCTCTTTTTGGGGCACACCCGGCCGTGCACAAGGAATTACTCCTGGCTCTGCACTCAGGAATTACTTCTGGCGGTGTTTGGGGGACCATATGGGATGCCGGGGATCAAACCCAGGATGGCCCTGTGCAAGGCAAAGGTCCTCCCCGCTTGAGTATTGCTGTAGTCCCTATGCACAACTCTGTACTATATAGTTTAATTGCTGTGTCACGAGAACTCAGCCCTCTCAACCACTTGTATATAGTTTCTTTGATCCTCACCTTCCCTCTCGACCCGACATCTAATGAGGCGGTTGAGATTCTTTTTGGGAGAGTAACAATGTGCTTAATTGGGATTCAGAGTTAATATTCTTTTCTGTCATCAAATCAGTTGTTAAATACTCATCTGTAAAACAATCACTTTTAGGGGCTGGAGAGATAGTACAGCAGTTAAGGTCCTTGCATTACGTGCTGCTGACCTGTTTCAGTCCCCAGCATTCCTTTAATCAGTAATGATTCCTTAGCACAGAGTCAGAAGAAATCCCTGAGTATTTCTAGGTCTGACCCAAAAACCAAGAGGAGCCAGGGGATAAAGCACATGTTCCTTGTGAATGAGGACTTGGGTTTAGTTCTTTGCACCCTTCTCTTTGATACTTAGCTTATGGCTCATACAAAAGTAGGTGGTGGTCTGACTTTTTGCTGAGGATAACATTAGAATTTAAGAGTGTCAATACAAGGGAACTGATGAAAGCTGACGTTGTTGGTAAAGGTTTTATATTCTTGCCAGACTTTTTTTTTTTATATCCTTCAGAAAAGTTGAAATTATTTGATGTGTCTCGCACTACACCACATATCATAATCAAACAAAAGAATTTGTCTTTTAGTCTTCATTGCATTTGTTCTCCAGTTGAAGAAATCCCAAATTGGGAAAATTCAGAAATAAAATAAAATACAGTTATATAATTCAGTACTAAAATGGTATGTATTAAATTCAGTAAGAATTCTGCAAAACGAGCTATTCCTGTAAATAGGAATGGCTGAAGAGCTGTTCCTTGAGGAGATGGAATTTGAACTATGCCTAGAAAGATGCACACAAAATAGAGAATAGAGTGGAGTTCATGGGGCTGGCGCGATAGCACAGCGGGTAGGGTGTTTGCCTTGCATGTGGCTGAACCGGGTTCAATTCCCAGCATCCCATATGGTCCCCTGAGCACCGCCAGGAGTAATTTCTGAGTGCAAAGCCGGGAGTAACCCCTGTGCATCACTGGGTGTGACTCAAAAAGAAAAAAAAAAATAGAGTGGAGTTCATGCCCACTTTAATCAATAGATTGAAATAGCAGTACTCCTATAGTAAAAAAAAAAAAGAGATCAATTATATTATGTTAGATTGCTGTTATATCTTGTCTCCTTTTCAAATAATGTCACTTTGTTGCTATAATATAGCTGGTAACCACATTAAAAAACACCACAAATAGCCCGATGATTGATAACTATTAATAGTTTTTCATTTTCTATTTCATGAGCCACTCACCTGCATAAAAAAGCAAAACAGGGCTGGAGCGAAAGCACAGTGGGTAGGGCTTTTGCCTTGCACGTGGCTGACCTGAGTTTGATTCCCAGCATCCTGTATGAACCCCCAAGCACCGCCAGGAGTAACTTCTGAGTGCGGAGCCAGGAGTAACCCCTGTGAATCACTGAGTGTGACCCAAAAGGGAAAAAAAAAAACAACAGATGAAATTTATTAATGATATGTTTTAACCCAGTTATATAATTTCTGCATAAGATCAATAACCAGAAATGTTAGAGATATCTTATATTGTATTTTTTGCACCGAGGTTTTTGAATCTGGCATGTGTTTTACTTTTACATCGAATCTCCCTTGGACTAGGAATATTGCTGATACTTTATAGCTTGGCCACTATACTGAGAAGTTTAGATTTCTAGCTTTATTAACTCATAGTGACCAGGTTTGCTTTGTTTTAATTATTGTAGTTTAGGTTACATGTTTACAACAGTATTAACTTTTATCTACTCAGTTCCACACCTCACCACCACAGGAGTGCCCACCATGGTCCACTCATGTCCTTATGTTACATCTACCTATTTCTACCCCTTCTGCCCACCCTCCCCCGACCCATATTAATTGGCAGTTTTACTTGTATTTACTTGTATAGCTTTGACTCTTCTTGATTTAGACTTATTTTTAAACTTTTGCTTTCTTTTTTTTGCATTTGGGTTGAATCCAGGGCCTCACAACTTCTGAGGCATGTACTTAACAACTGTGTCAATCCCTAGCCTTGATCTTGATCTTTGCTAGTGTAATTCAGTTATTTAAAATCTAACATTTACTATCAATTTAATGTTTTGCCTTTTATTTACTGGTTTATAGTTGTTTTTTACACACACTCTCTTTTCCTAGGAAATAGAAAAAAACAGTTTTAGAGAATACTTGTTAAATTTATAGTGTGTCTAAGCATACTAGTATATACATAATATATAACATACAACTTATGGAAGCTAGACCATATGAAGAGTTATTTCAGTCATTTTCAATAAAAATATATTGACATTTGCTTCTCCTTGCACTTATAAGCTACCAAGAGTATCCCGCCTGCACGGCAGAGCCTGGCAAACTACCCGTGGTGTACTCAGTATGCCAAAAACAGTAACAATGATGGTCCTCATTCCCCTGACCCTGAAAGAGCCCCCAGTATGTTATCGGACTACACTAGCACGTGACAGGGACGAATGGAGATGCTACTGGTGCCCGCTCGAGCAAAATCGATGAATAATGGGGTGACAGTGATAGTGATAGTGATAGTGTACTTATAAGATACTTTGAGGTGTGTATGATTCCTCAAATGAGAAAGCATAGGGGGAAGATTATTTGTTGCCTCCCATAAAATTATGGTTAATCTGCATTTAAAAAATACAGCTTATATTTTGAAATATCTTAAACTATCATATTTAAAAGCTCAACCCTTCTAAGCTAATGTTTTCTTTTAAGTGAGGGCTGCACCCATTGTGCTCAGGCCTTACTCCTAGCTCTGAGCTCAAGGGTCATTCCTAGCAAAGTTTGGGGTACCATATATGGGTTGTTGGGGATCAAACCCAGGTTACGGTGTGCAAGCAAGCTCCCTACCTGCTGTCCTATCTCTCCAGTCCTAATTGTGTTTTTGTACGGCTTTACAGAAGAATGGTAAATCATGAAATTACTAAAGCAAGTTTCTCCTTGTCACAGAGGAAGACTAGGAATGTTAAAAATATAGTTGGGAACTGAAGGGTTAGTATGAGGGTAAGGTGTTTGCCTTGCACGTCGTTCAATCCTGGTTCAATCCTGGCTAGTCCTGGTTCAGTCCTGGGCACTGTGTATGGTCCTTTGAGCCACCTCAAGGAATGAACTCTGAACAGTCAGGAGTAAACCCTGAGTACAGCAAGGTATGCCCCCCCAGTCGCTACTCCCCCACCAAAAAATTATAATAGGGTTTTGAAACTGCAGTGCCTCGTGGAAAAGATTTCCAAGACCCTCCTGTTTCCCTTCCCATCATATCTGAACACTGGTCTTGGTCATCTTCAAAGGAGGAATAGTAATATTGAAGATGGTCTCACAGGGCTCATCTGCTGTGTAGCACATGGGCTAGTTTTAAACAAGGTTTTTGTTTTTTAAGATTCCTAAGGATTTGCTGAAAATGCTACATATTAACTGATGTGATATCTAGGAGTTGTTTAAAAGTAATCTAGGGTCCAGAGAGGAGTACGGTGGGTTGGGTGCTTACATACTGACTCACCTTTGATCCCTAGCACCTTCTTTGGTGCCTCAAGGGCCACCAATAATCATCCTTGGGTGCAGAGCTAGGAGTAAGCTCTAAGCACTGCCAGGTGTGGTTCAAAATGCATAAAACTAAAGAATATAAGAAAAGAAAAATTACAAGGGACTAGTACACTGGGTAGGGTGTTTGCTTTGCATGCAGCCAACCTGGGTTCAATTTCCAGCAATCCCATGTAGTCTTATTGCTGAGTGTGACACAGAAAGCAAAAAAAAAAAAAAAAAAAAAAATTACAGTGTGTGCCAGGGATCTATGAGGCCTGGGCTCAAATTTTCCAGCATTGCAAAAAAATTATTGTTGAACATATGTCAATATTTGTTTATAGCTAAGTGATGGCTGTATTGTGTTCATCTGTTCTCCTTTTGTTTGTTATATATTTTCATTATAAAAAACTAATTCATTTTAGTTGGCTTTCTTTAGACCAATACCAGTAAGTTACTCTGTAGATTATGATACCAACATGTTTGCTTTCCTTTTCTCTTTTCTCCTCTCTTTAGCTCACTCTTTCCGGATGTAGTGAACTGTATGCAGACTGACAACCTGGAGTTAAAGAAGCTGGTATATCTCTACTTGATGAATTATGCCAAGAGTCAGCCAGACATGGCCATCATGGCTGTCAATAGCTTTGTGAAGGTAACATTTCCCGACTAACAAGTCTCTTCTAGCTCAAAAAACCTTTTCAGAGGTCAGGTAGAGTTTATGTCTACATTGCAAATTGCAGTCTCTATTCTGAGAGAGCCTCCACAAGAAGAGCTATCAGAGACTGAAATGTTCATGCTTGAACCGTTATTTATGCCAGCATGTGCCATCCAATGCAAACATACATGGAGCCTTCTAGTTGCTGCTAGGTGCTGGTCCTGTGCATCCTTGCTAGATGGGAGAAGAAAGTCAAGTGAAACCTCACTGTTTTACCTTGAGATTAAAGTACACTAATCTGGGACTACCTGTTTTTTCTTTAGAATTTGACTGTCAGAAGTAGCAGAAATTGCAAAAGCTTCTATTATCTTGTTTCATGAATGGATCTTACATTTGACTTTTAAAATTATTATTATGGAATGCATATCCAAGTAAAATTATATAGTACATTTCTAAATACTCATCTTGCAGTGTCATTAGTTATCAATTCGTGATCAGTTTGTTTAATTTATTCTCCCTTTAATTACCCCCTCACCGATTAGATAATATTAAAGCAAATCTCTGCAGCCATATGTTAGAATAATACCTAATTTTTTTTTTTTTTGAGAGGGGGAGGGGAACCAGTTATGTTCAGGGTCTATTCCTGACTCTGCTCAAGGGTAGCTTTTAGTGGTGCTTGGAGACCATGCAGTACTAGAGATCTAACCTGGGCCTCCCCTTTTAACCACATCTGGTGGCTGTTCAGGTGCTGTTCTCAGCTGTGCTATGTGGTCCCAAAGTTTAAACCAGGTCCTCCTGCAAAGTATATGTTCCAACTCATTTAATTATCTTTGTATCTCTCTGGACTCAAAGATCCTCTTTTGTTGGGTTGGGAAATACCCGGTGGTGCTCAGGGGCTATTCTGACTCAGGAGTGACCCTTTCTATGCTTCCTGGACCACATTTGGTGCTGGGAACGAAATTGGGTTGGTGATGTTGGCCTTATGCAATCCAAGTGTCTTACCTCCTGTACTGTACATCTGGCCCAAGATCTCTTTTTTAAAAACATAACCACATTACTCTTGTCACATCTTTCCAAAAAATCAATCATTAAAACTTTCTTAATTTTGGTGGAGGGATGGGCATTTGATCATTGTATAATTGAAACCCAAGCACAAAAATTTGTAAGTCTACAACTGTACCCCATGATGTCTCACTAATAAAAAAAAATCTAAAAAATAAAATTTCTTAATTTTATTGGCTTTCTAAGTCAACTTTTCCTGTGATTAGATTTAATAAATATAATGAAGTTATTTCTGTTTTTATATATTTAAGAATTTTCTTTGGCTTGTTTTCTGAAATTTAGTCTGTATTAAAAAAATTAGACAACGTTTTAAAATTATCTTCTATTAAACTGTTTGGAACAGTAAGGCGGTCAAGTGCCTGGAGAGATAGTACAGGAGGAAAGGTGCTTTCTTTGTGTGTGGCTTATTCCTTCTTTCTGTTACCATTGCAAGTATATTTGTCACTGATTGCTTTTCATAGGACTGTGAAGATCCAAATCCTCTGATTCGAGCCTTGGCCGTCAGAACCATGGGGTGCATCCGGGTGGACAAGATTACAGAATATCTCTGTGAGCCCCTCCGCAAGTGCTTAAAGGATGAAGATCCCTATGTTCGGAAAACAGCAGCAGTCTGTGTGGCAAAACTCCACGACATCAATGCCCAGATGGTTGAAGATCAGGGCTTTCTGGATTCTCTTCGGGATCTCATAGCAGATTCGAATCCAATGGTAATAAGCTTTTCTAGAGAGTGCTTAAAAAGGGTCTTCCATTTTGGTACATTACACTCTTGAGTATACTTTTGGTAGGAAGCATGAGAGTCTTGGAGATTGTGTGTCACTCTTGGGAATTTTGATGTGAAACCAATGATTAAAATTGAGGGTTTTGTTTGATTATTTGACCCATGGACCACATGTGGAGATGCTCAGGAGATGCTTATTACTTTTTTGGATAATTTTTAATTTTTTTTATCGATTTACAAAGTTGTTCACAATACTGCTGGTTTTCGATGTTTCAACAATAATCCCTCCACAAGAGTGATCTTCCCTTTCCTTTACTCCCAGCTCTACACTCAAGGATTGCTCCTGGGAGGGCTCAGGGCTCTGTATAGGGTGCCAGGGATTGAATCCTGGTTAGCCACATTCAAGGCAAGTGCCTTATCTGCTGTATTATCTCTCTGGTTATACTATCTTTTCGGTGTGGGGGTCATTCCTAGTGGTACTTGGAGACTACCAGGCCACATGTGATGTGGGCTTGGGCTTGGGCTTGGGCTTCCATGCAGTATAAGGGATCAAACTAAGGGTCTTACTATCCCTCCAAGGCATATGCTCTCCTGCTTGAGCCATATCCTAGAACCCAAAATAGAAGAGCGTTAAACCTTTGTATCACACCTATTCCTCTAGTTGCTCCCCAAACTAACAAGTTCTTTTTTATTATTCTCTTAGATTTTACCTTAAAGTTTTATTTTAAAAATATTGGGGGAGGGTGATGGGGAAGCTTTAGGTTTGGGTCATACCTAGCAGTGCTCAAGGGCTCTTTATTCCTGGCTCTGTGCTCAGAAGTGACACTCAGCAGTGTTTATGGGGCCGTATTTGGTTTTGGGCATTGAACCTGGGTTGACTGGAAGTGGCCACTTGAAGGAACACGCTTTACCTCTTGTACTATCTCTCAGGTCCCTGGATTATCTCATTTGGGGGGAAGTTTTGGCTAATGTTTATTTTAAGTTTAGTATCAAGGTCAAAGGAGGAAGCAATTCACATTTTTTTATCCTCCCTCCTCATGGGTTTATTTTAAAATCTGAAAGCAGCTTTAAATGTTAACCTCAAAATAAACATTTTTATCATTGTTGATGTGTAAGAGAAGTAATTAAACTAATCTCTTATGGAGTCAAATTCTCTCTGGGAATTCTACAGTTAAGATAGTAAATTTGTTTTTTTTGTTTTTGTTTTGTCTACAATTTTCCCCCCACACCTGATGATGCCCAGGAATTACTTCTGGCTGTACTCAGGGGACCAAATGAGATGCTGGGGATTGAACCTGAGACCCAAGGGCCACATGCAAAGCAAATAAATGCTGTGCCTGCTGCGCTGTTGCTCCAGTTCTTGATTTCTCTACAAATTGTTTTTATTTACTCAGCTTTTTGTGAGATTTATCCAGAGTTGTTGTTCTTGTATTTGGTCCACATCTGGCAGTGCCCAGTGCTTACTCCTGACTCTGCTCAGGGATCACTCCTGGCAGGCATAAGGACTCTGTAGCATGCTGGGAATTGAAACCAGGTCGGCTGTTTGCATGTCAAATATCCTACCAGTTCTGCTATTGCTCTTGCCTCCACATTTTTTTTTTTGTTGCCTCCACATTTTTAATTAGTTATTATTATTTTTTGGTGCTTGGGCCACACCCAGCAGCACTCAGGACTTGGCTCTATGCTCAGGGATCACTTCTAATAGGGCTTGAGAGACCACATATAATGCCAGGAGTTGAACATGGACTGGCTACATGTAAGTCCTTTATCCACTGTACTATCTTTATTATCCTAGGGCCACATTTATTACCTTTTTGGATAATTTTTAGGTAAAAGGTAAAGGCCCTCCCGTTGATCGTCGATTTGCTCGAGCGGGCCCAGTAACGTCTCCATTGGAGACTTTGTTGTTACTGTGTTTGGCATATCGAATACGTCATGGGTAGCTTGCCAGGCTCTGCCGTGCGGGCGAGATACTCTCGGTAGCTTGCCGGGCTCTCCGAGAGGGGCAGAGGAATCGAACTCGGGTCGGCCATGTTGGCCGCTTGTAAGGCGAACGCCCTACCCGCTGTGCTATCGCTCCAGCCCAGGATAATTTTTAATTTTTTTTAATTGGTTTACAAAGTTGTTCATAATACTGCTGGTTTTCAGTGTTTCAACAGTAATCCCTCCACAAGAGTGATCTTCCCTCTCACAGCCTGCCCTCCTTAGCAAGTGCATGATAATTTGTTTTATATTACTTGTTACAACTAAATGACAAATGGAATTATCGGAAATACTTCAGTAAAAGAAAACAAACACTGTCCTCCCGTTGTTCATCAATTTACTTGAACGGGCCCAGTAACATCTCCATTTTGAGACTTGTTGTTACTGTGTTTGGCATATCGAATACGTCACGGGGAGCTTGCCAGGC